ATAATTAAAAAATAAATAAAAAATAAATGGTTGGGTGTTTTGTTTCATTTTGTTTACAGTTCTATACAATCTAATACTTTTTTTTGGAGAATTAAGCTCCCGTCTACTGCTAGTCACACATTAGGAAGTCCACTATGTGGACTTTCTTAGAAATGCAGAGGTGTTTCCTTTGTCTACTTGCTTGGAGGCCTCCCATAGCACTTTAGAGCAGCTTGTGTCCAGTCAACACTGCTGAGAATCCAGGTCTTTGAAATCATCTTGTTTAAGCAGGGTCCCAAAGTTCATAACACAGAGTGAGTGAGCAAGGGCTGGAGTATGTTCAACCTTCCACTGAGTGAGTCTTTCCAAGAATTCTGAGCTTAGGAAGAGAGAGCGAGATGATGGAGAAGACCTCTCATGGAGACGTCACACCCCATTTAGACATCGGTGTGTAACGGAAGTACACACACACACACACACACACACACACACACACACACACACACGCGCGCGCGCGCACATGCATAGTTTCTCCTACCTCAACAAAGGCCGCCAGTACAGCCAAACCATCGGATTTGTCCTTGGCTTCATCATAGTTTGCGTACTTAGCATTATAGTGAACAAAGTGAATCTGTGGGAGAAAGATGGAGCAGGTCAAGGGTGGTTCATCCAGGTTTTAAAAGCCAAGGAAGAAAAGGAAGGAAGTAGGTACTCCAGCTGAGGCCTCAGATGGCCCCACACAAGTAGCTCTAGACCTCTCTCCTTCCATCTGGGCTATGAGCCCCACCTGTCAAGACCAGAAACTTTTCCAAGAATGGAAAGAGTGTGAATGGAATTCTGGAAGATGGCAGCTCCAGTTCCCCCTGATCCCCCTCCCTTCAGACAGTCATTCTGGGAGAGGCTGGGCTGGTCATATGAGGATACTGCATCTTCCTTGGGCCCCTGGAGGGCCAGGAAGCCGCTGTAATCCCGCAATAATCCTAAAAATGGATTCAGGCCACAGAGGTACCCTGAAGCTAATACAGAGAGCCAGCTGAAACAGAGGCGGATTTGCTAGCCCTATAGGTGGTAAACTCCTGCTGTGCTGTGAGTTCTGTGAGGAAGGACCCTGTCTACATTCCGTGCACAAAGCAATTACCAGTAAGCAGTTACTGAATGAACAGAAAATAAATTCACACAGGGTGACTGAACCATCGCCACTGCACCAAGTCTTATTGGCTATTTTAATAAGAAATATAGGGCTGGAGCTGGAGAGATGGCTCAGCGGTTAAGAACACTGTTTGTTCTTGCAGAAGACCCAGGTTCGAAGCCCAGCACCCACATGGCCACTAACAACAGTCCGTAACTCCAGTTCTAGGGGATCCGACAGCCTCTTCTGTCCTCCGAGGGCATTGCACTTACCTACATGCAGGCAATACACGCATATACATAAAATAAAAATATTTTTTAAAAATAAATAAAAGAAATGTAGGGCTAGAATTGTAGCCCTACATTTGACTACATTTGTAAAGTATTGGTGTGCAAATATGCAGACCTGAGTTCGATTCCCCAGCATCCGTATAAAGAAGCTGGGTAGAGCACTGAGTGCATGCCTGCAATCCCAGCACTGGGAGGGTGGAGATAGGAGATAGCCATCTAGCCTACTGGTGAGCTTCAGATCCAGTGAAGGGACCATCTCAAAAATAAAAAATAAATAAGGCGGGGTACAGCCAAAGAAGGTGCCAAGTGTTAACCTCTGGCCTCCACACACATGTACACATACATGAATACACATGAACACTCACTAACAGACAAACACACTCACAGAAGGAAAAGTGACTGTGAAGCCTGAAGGAAAGGGGACCCTGTTGGGGTCATCACATACCTCAATCACGCGTCTGATCCCATCAATGGTGTGCTCAGAGCCGCTGACTTCTGAGGACCCACCGCCCCAGTGATAGTGCATCTGCAGGGCTATATATCTGGTGCCGTCAGAATCGGTCATGCTCATGGTGGGGGGCAGGGTGATCTGCACTGCAAGAGACAACACAGTGTGGAGAGCACAGCAGGTGGACATGGATGCATTAAGCTTTCAGTAAGTGGCCCCCCTCCCAGCTGTCTCATCCCTGCCCACACCCAAGGCAACCCAGGTGTGCTGGATAGCTTTAGTGTCAATTTGACACACCTGGGTTAAGGGAGCCTCCATTGGGGAATTGCCTCCATTGAACTGGCCTGTGGCCATGTCTATAGGGCATCTTCTTGATTACTGAGTGATATGGGAGGGCCCAGCCCACGGTGGGCAGTGCCACCCCTGGGCAGGTGGGCCTGTGTTATATAAGAAAGCAGGCTGAGCACTCAGGAGGCAGAGGCAGGCAGATCTCTGTGAGTTCAAAGCCAAGCCAGTAAGCAGTGCTCCTCCATGGCCTGTGCTTCAGCTCCTGCCTCCATGTTCCTGCCCTGAGTTCCTACCTTGGGCTCCCTCAGTGATGAACTGTGACCTGGGAGATATAAGCCAAATAAACCCTTTCCTCCCCAAGTTGGTAGTGGTCAGAGTGTTTTGTCAGAGAAATGGAGAAACAAACTAGGACACTAGGGTATTATTGATGGCTTAGAATGCCATCCCCAAAGGGTCAAGATGGAGGCCAGGACACCTTTTCCCAGAACCAGGATGTCAGGAGCAGGACTACACCATAGCAGGACCAGCTTGTTGGCTCTAGAGAAGGGGAAAGCCATGAAAAAATATGGCTTAAGGCACTAGCCTATATGGATTAAGGCACTAGCCTATATGGATTAAGGCACGAGCCTATAATCTCAGTACTTGGAACCTGAGGCATGGGGATTACTAGTTTGAGGCCTCTTAGGCTATAGACTCTGTTTTGGGACTCTGTCTCAAAAACTAAATGTTATCACGTGCACACACGCACACACACATGCATGCACACACAAGCACACACACACACACACACACACACACACAGTCAATTGAATCAATGGGTATGGAAACCAAAATTCCATTTTCCACTTTAGGCCAGTTTTGGAATTTGCACAATATGTAAGAACAGGAGGTGAGACCTCTTGAGACTAATTTTTTCCCCCCAGTTCTGGGGATTGAACCCTGACCATTTTAAGCAAGCATTCTATCATAATCCCAGTCCCAACCCTTTTTTCTGCTTAAGATAATTATGTGTATATAGGACTGGTGTGGCAGCATACCCCCTTAAGCCCAGCATTTGGGAGGCAGAGGCAGGAGGATCTCTGTGAGTTCAGGGCCAGCCTGATCTACATAGTGAGTTCTAGGTCAGCCAGGGCTACACAGTGACACCCTGCCTCAAATAAATAAAATTATATATAATGTGTATTATATATAATGTGCATTATGTGTGTGAGTGTGGATTTGTACACATGAGTGCAGGTGCCCCTAGAACCCAGAATAGAATGTCAGATCCCCTGGATCTGGAGTTAGAGGCAGTTACAAGCAGCCTAACATAGGTGCTGGGAGCCAAAGTCAGGTCCTCTGGAAGCAGTCCATGCTCTTATCCCCTAAGCCATCTCTCTAGCCCCTTTTTTACTTTTGAGACGGGGTTTCACTAAGTTTCCCAGACTGGCCTTAAACTTGTGATCCTCCTGCTTTGGCCTCCAAAGTAACTGGAATTGCAGCCCTGAGCCACCTGCCTGGGCCATTCTGATTAGTTTTCTTACCCAGAGTGAGTACTGTGGGCAAGGCCAAGCTGAGGTGGATATGCTGGGGTTAGTATGGTCCTCCCCAGCAGCCTCCTAGAGAGGCCACAGACCTACCAGCTCTGCTGGGGTGTGAGGTAGCTCCCCGCTGGGCTCCAACACCCCTGTTTTGTGGACAAAGATGACATAGGAACTAGGTAGACTCATAGGGCATGTCACACCATGCCTCAGGCAGGGGCAGATCTGGGCTAAGAACACAGCATGAAGATCCTCATCTCCAACCACATGTCACTGTGATGTGACTCAACCTGTCCTCAGAAGACAAGAAACCAAGCTCCACAGGAAGCCGGGGCCATGCAAGTTCTTGGCTTGGGATTTAACGTGGCTGTGATTCGGAGTGGATGCACTGAGAATTTCCTCTTGCTGGAGGAATAATGAATGGGTCTTCCAGCTTCCTCCCACCACTTGCCCTACAGACTTCTTTGGGGGAAATCACTTGGGTTAGATAACCAAATACATTCATCTCTCTGGCTCAGGTCTTGGGAAAAATCTTTGTCTTTTGGAATGAGCTTGGCCAAAGTAAAATTGGGTAATGAAATCAGAGAAAAGCTAAGAAAAATATGGTAAGGTATTGTCCCCGCATGGTGGCACACACCTGTAATCCTAGCATGTAGACGTGGGGGGTAGAGAAAAGAGGACCAGAAATTTTTTTTTTTTTTTTTGATCTTTTTGAGACAGGGTCTCCCTGTAGCCCTAGTTGGCCTAGAACTTGCTATGTAGACCAGGCTGGTGTTGAACTCACAGAGATCCAACCTGCCTCTGCCTCCCAGAGAATCAGAATTTCAGGCCAACCTTACTACATATGGAGTTTGAGGCTAGCCTGGGCTCCATGAGACTCTGTCTCAAACAAACCAAAGTATAATTTAGGAGCTGAGAATACTGCTCAGTGATAGAGTGCTTGCCAACCATGCACAAGGCCCTAGGTCTCCAGTACCAGGGAGGGGAGGGGTCTTTGGTACAAACCTAAAATCTCCGCACTCAGGAGGCTGAGGAAGGAGGACTGTAAGATACGAGTGCTTGCCAAGCAAGCCAAACGATGTGGGTTGGGTCCCTAAAATCCATAATGGAAGGAGAAAGTCAACTCCCAAAAGTTGTCCTCTGACCTCCACACACAGGCCATAGTACACACGCACATACAGCACATACAAACACAACTAAATAAATAAAAAATTTAAAGATGGCTGTGGACATGTAAGTTCTCTTAAAGAGCAAATGCTACATATTTAAGATGTTCCCTTCTTCCTCCCCAAATTATCTAAAGGACCAAGAAGCCATAATTAACCTAATACAGTGTGCTATACCAAAGGACTCTGGCCTCAAGGATTTTAGAGGTTCCTTTTGTGGACCAAGCACTTTTTATTTAGGTCCTTAAAATCTATGTTCACAAGAAAAAATGGACAAGGTTTTTTGTTTTTGTAGACCAGGATGACCTTGAACTCAGAGATCCGCTTACCTCTACCTCCCAAGTGCTGGGACTAAAGATGTGTGCCACCACGCCCGACTTAATGGACAAGGTTTTATTTATTTATTTATTATTATTTTTATGTGTATGCGTGTATTGCCTGCATGTAGGTAAGTGCACCCCTGTCATGCAATGCCTCGGAGAACAGAAGAGGCTGTCAGATTCCCTGGGACTGGAGTTACAGACAATTGTTAGCTGCCATGTGGGTGTTGGGATTTGAACCCAGGTCATTCTGCAAGAACAGAGTTCTTAACCACTGAGCCGTCTCTCCAGCCATGGACAAGGTTTTAAAGGACGAGGAGTGCTAAGTCAGTCCTGCCTAGAGTCAATGGGATCCCAGGAGGCTGGACCACTGGTAGAACAGCTTTGAGGAGACAGAAATGTCTAATGTGCTGATGACAGGCCTGCATAGGCCAACTTGGAACAGAGCCATTGCTCTGAGCTTGTGGCTATGCTGTTGAAAACCTAAGGCCCAAATCTCTCTGTCCCCAAACCTAAATCTTCCAGATTCTAAAAATGGATTCAACTTCCAACAGGACTTGCTCCCTTCATGAGGAATAAATGTAACCAGTATCTCGTCAGAAAACTCACATTTGAACATGTGCTGTGCTCAGAAAACAATCAACAGACCTGGGGATACGGCTCAGTTGGTAGAGTACATGACTAGCATGTATCAAGCCCTGAGTTTGATCCCCAGCACCACATAGACCAGGCTTGGCAGCACCTCTATAATCCCAGCACGCAGGAGGTAGAGGCAAGAGGATCAAAAGTTCAAAGTAATCTGTAGCTACACAGGGAGTTCCAGGCCAGCCTGAGCTACATGAAATCGTATCTCCAAAAAAAGGTGCTGGGGGGGGACTGGCAATATAGCTCAGTGGTGGACGGCTTGCTTAACATGTGTAAGGCCCTAGGTTCCACCTCCAGTACCAGAAAAAGCAAAAACAAAACAAAATTCTGTAAAAGACATGAGCCGTGGGGACTGAGCCATGGGGCTGTGGTCCCCAACCCTGAGCCTGGAACTGAGGTCCCAAATCATGAGTCAGTGTTCCACATTCCTTGGGTGGTGGGATGATGGTGGAGCAGTTTGGAGGATAGAGGACTTCCCGGTGTTGGGCAGTGGTTTCAGCTTTTTCTGAGTGGCTGCACCCCCACAACCCCTCCCCTGAGGTCCCAGGTTGCACATGGCAGGTACTTTGCCTCTGTGCTTATGCTGGGGATGGGGCAGGTTTCTGTCATGTGCAATCTCTAGTCTTGGGAGGACTGATTCTCTAGAATGGACTTCCCACCTCCCTTGATGGCCAGCTACGATCTTGACTCCACACATGGTCCCGGGCACCAGGCCTTGATGTTGGACCTTCCCATTCCCAGGCACCAACAGGTTTTCCATCATCTTTCTATTACTTTCTATTACTTCTACAGCCCTGTGTATCTTCTTCACCTGTGACCCTCAGGAAATGTAAATCACCTAATTGAACTTCTAGAGATAAAATCACAGTCTGGGAAGGAAAAAAAAAAAAAAAGACACGGGTAAGAGAGTGGAAAGACAGTAAGAAAATGAACACAGTGATTTTAAAATGAGCAAAAGGCTTGAAGAGACACTTCATCATGGAGATACACAAGGCTTTCAGTAATCCCAACACTTCAGAAGCCACAACAGGAGGCCCCTTGTCCCTACTTCAAAGTCAGCCTCGGCAATATGGAAACACACACACACACACACACACACACACACACACACACACCTTTTTTAAAAAAAAATTGAGATTGTGAGTGACAGGCATGGGGACACACATCTTTAATCCCAGCACTCGAGAGGCAGAGGCAGATGAGGTGGATCTCTGTGAGATCCAGGCCAGCCTGGTCTACACAGGACGTTCCAGGCCAGCTGGGGCTACAGGGAGACCCTGTCTCAAAAAGACCAAAAAATTAATTTATTAATTAAGATTATAATTTAAAAAATAGATTGTGGGGGCTGGAGAGATGGCTCAGCAGTTAAGAACGCTGACTATTCTTGCAGAAGACCTGGATTCGAATCCCAGCACCCACATGGCAGCTAACAACTGTCCGTAATTCCAGTTCCAGGTATCAGACAGCCTCTTCTGACCTCCTTGGGCATTGCACGACACAGGTGCACTTACCTACATGCAGGCAATACACACATACACATAAAATAAAAAAATATAATAAATTTAAAAAATATAGATAGATGATACATAGATAGATAGATAGATAGATAGATAGATAGATAGATAGATAGATAGATTGTGATTTAGGCATGGTGGCACATGCCTTTAATCCCAACACTTGGGAGTCAGAGACAGATCTCTGTGAGTTCAAAGTCAACCTGGTCTACACAGTGAGTTTCACAGGGCTACATAGTAAGACCCTGTTTCAAAAGAAAACAAAAAAAGATTGTGAATGTAGCTCAGAGGTAAAACACATAACATACACAAAGCCCTTTGGTTCAATCCCTAGCACCACAGAAAAGAAAAAGAAAAAAAAAACTAGAGCCTTTGAGAGCTTTTAAGTCATTGTACAGCTCAGCAATCCTAGCCACACATACCTGAGACTGTCTGCGGATGGGGCTCTGCTTTCTCTTTTACTATTTCCCCGATCCCATTGGTTTTATTGTCTTAATTATGCAATAAGCACCTATGTACAGGCAATAAATTGCCTTACCCCAGAGCCATGTGAGACAGTGAGGCATCAGCAAGGGCTGAAAACCAACATCTAGGTCATTAAGAGACTGTGATTTTTTTTTTCAAGATTCATTTTTATTTGTGTGTGTGTGTCTGTGTGTGTGTGTGTGTGTATGTGTATGTCTGTGTAAGAATGTCTGTCACATGTGTGAGAGTGCCTGCAGGGGCCAGAGGGCATTGGATCCCCTGGAGCTGGAGTTACAGGCAGATGTGAGGCACTTGAAATAGAAGCTAGATCCAAACTCAGGTCCTCTGGAAGAGCAGCAAGTGCTCTTAACCACTGAGCCATCTCTCCAGGTCCAGAGACTGTGATCTTGAGTGAGTCCTTTGCCTTCTGATACTTCAGGTTTCCTGCCTAAAAAATACCCCTCCTCTTAGCCAAGCGTAGTGGTGCATGCCTATAATCCCAGAGATTAGGAAATTGGGGCAGGGGGAGCAGGAGCTCATGGTGATCCCTGATTACATAGTAAGCTTGAGGCCAGTGAGTTCTAGGACAGCTGGAGCTACAGGGAGATCTTGTCTCAAAAAGACCAAAAAAAAAAAACAAAGATGGATGGGGGGTGGGGTTTGTACAGAGATGGCTTGGTAGTTAAGAACACTGGCTGCTCTTGCAGAGGACCCAGATTCAGTTCCTAGCATCCACAAAGTAGCTAACAACCATTCTAATTCCAGTTCCAGAGGATCCTCAGGTACCAAGCACACATGTGGTGTACATACATATATGGAGGCAAAACACTCGTATATATTAAATCAATCAACCAATAACAGGAATTCTGGGCTACGTCTCAGGTGGTTTGAAGTAATCAGACTCCATACAGAAAATATGGAAACCAGCGCACAGTTGAACAGAAACGAAGGGAGAAGCACGGCTTGGGCAGTTGCTGATGCTGCCTGTTTCCCATCCTGGGAATACCCTGCTGAGTGAATCAGAGCAGATTCTGTTTGTTGGGTTATTTATTAATTATTATAGTGAGTGTGTGTGTGTGTGTGTGTGTGTGTGTGTGTATGTGTGTGCGCATGCGCCATAGCATATGTGTGGAGGTCAGAGACAAACTTTCAAGAGTCAGTTCTTCCCAGGAATCAAACACACAAAATCAGGCTTCAAAGCAAGTGCTTTTACCCACAGAGTCATCGCCCTGGCCTCAGGCTCAGCTTTGAGGGAGTCTGTGGGAGCTGACTTTATCTTTATTTTTATTATTTTTTAATATTTTATTTTTTTATATTATGTGTATGTGTGTATTGCATGCATGTAGGTAAGTACATCCGTGTCATGCAATGCCCTCGGAGGACAGAAGACACTGTCAGATCCCCTGGAACTGGAGTTTCGGACAGTTGTTAGCTGCCATGTGGGTGCTGGGATTTGAACCCGGGTCTTCTGCAAGAACAACCAGTGTTCTTAACTGCTGAGCCACCTCTCCAGCCCTAGGCAGCTGAGTTTAGAGATAGTTGCTGCCCATCTCTGAAAGAATCACCATGTTCCCGGCTGACTGTGCCCTCAGGACTCTGTGCATGTGGCTCTTGTCAGGTACACGCGCCACCTGCTTTCTCCTGTAGACCACTAGGACCACCGGTGCCCCTTACCTGTGTGGCCATTGTTGATCATGGGGAACTCCATATCTTCCTCTCCGTAACCGGTCAGGTTCAGTGGCTTCAAGTATGGGTTGAACTGCACCTTCCTCCTCTGCAGGTCAATGGGCGACTGTTTCTGCCCCCCACAGCTGGGGTACTCCAGTGGCCATTGTTCTTCCTCCAGCCCACCTTCTGCAACAGGAGAGAGTGGGACAGAGCTCAAAGGGCTGCTCCACCAAGCCTCCTCTGCAGGCTTCTTACCAGGCCGGGGCCAGGGTCCACTGGGTCGCCTTCTGGAAGCAGAAGCAGAACTTTCCAGAAGGCAGGCCATGTGGGATCTAAACCAACCCCAAAGACCTGGTTTCAGGGGTGGTGTCGATGTTGTCTTCTAACTCTTGTCTTGATCCCATGGCACTGGGCACATGAGCTGGTGTTAGAAGCCATGGGAGTCTAAGAGTTGTTAACTCTCGACCTTGCAGTGTTCACAGCTGATAAATGTCCTGGAGAGAGCCTGGGCCTAGCAATATGGGGTGGCCTCAGAGGGCTTTTCCTCATTTTCTGAAGTGAACATGGAGTTTTCCTTCCAAACCCCTGACTAGAGCCCCTGCTCCCTGTGCTTTGGGAGCCCCCTCAAACACCTGTTTTCTTGCCCCAGCCCCTGGTATGGGATCATAGGATGTCAAAGACATACCCATGGATTCAGGACACTTGAAAAGCATCATATTCAAGGAGGCTCTCCAATGTTTTGTTTTGTTTTTTTGAGACAGGGTCTCCCTGTAGCTCCAGCTGGTCTGGAGCTCACAATGTAGACCAGGCTAGCCTTGAACTTACAGAGATCCACCTGCCTCTGCCTCTACTTGGATTAAAGCCATGTGCCACCACACCTGGTTTTTTTTTTTTTTAATTGAATCTGGTGGGATATGGTGGTGCCTGTCTGTAACCCCAGCACTCAAGAGGTGGAGGCAGGAGGATCTCGAGTTCACGGACATCTTCAGCCTTGAACAAGTTTGAGGCCAGTCTGGGCTACATTAGTTCTTATCTTTAAAATGAAACAAAAACAAGTCAAAAAATTAAAATCTGGGCCTGGTAATAGATACCTATGGTCTCAGACACTCAGGAATTTTTTAAGACAGGAGAAAGCCCCAGTCTTCCCAGGCAGGTGGGGTGCCTGTTGAGAGCCGGGTCAGTGACTGCAGCCTGCCCTCTGAAGCCCCCTCACACTGTCCCTCAGTTTATTACCTTGACTAGGACTTACCATCCACCCTGAATGTGTGCCCCTGTGTACTGGAAAGGGGATGGGCTCAACAAATTCTGTCCTGTGTCACTCTGGCTGGCTACCTACACCAGCCAGCAGCCTTAGCCGCATCGCCACCCCCCCCCATTCTATGGGGGTAAATGTGGGAGGTCCCTTCATGGTCACATTAAGGCAGGATTTTCAAGTTCCCCTTGAGTAGTCAGGTTGGATATCTGAAGGTCAATGGGTTCTGATGGAGGCAAGGCATTCTGGGTGAATTGTGAGTGGGGACATTTCAGAGGAGGAAGCTCTCTGTAGCCCTGTAGTCCACTCTGTGAGACTTCAGGGCATCTTTTCTAAGAGCCACATTTGTCACACATAGGGATAATACAGTCACACGTGGGCTCTCAAAATAGCCAATGCTGGATGGAAAAGGTTTTAAAGCCACCAAGTGAATCTGGGCTTAGGAAGGGAATTGTCTTTTCCTTCATCAGGGTTTAAACTCCATTCAGAGACAGCAAAAAGAAAGCCTGTGGGCCCACAGACCCCAAGAGAAGACCTAAGCACCACATCAGTGGGCTGCCTTTCCATCCTGCCTCAAAGTGCCAGGTAGCAGCTTACCTGAGTAGGTCCACTCGTGCTGGGCCTGGGCGCCCAGGAAGAACAGGGACACCACTGTCACCAGAGCCCTCATGGCAGGTGCTGCGGGTCTGAATCCAGGATGGGTTCTGGGGAAATGCTTCTTTTAAAAGCTCAGAAACTGTAAATAACAATTTACCACGTCCAGCTGGCTGATCCGCCCTTTGCTGCACCCACTAAACAATAACACCTTCCCCACAATGGCCCTTCTGACTTGGTGCCTCGTGCACGTGCCTCATCTCCTCCTGGGGCATTACCATAGCCAATTAGCCCACGTCTGGTTGTTCAACATCTTTGGAAACTCAGCCCAGGAGCCACACAGAGCAGCCATTGTGGACTAGGAGTGATTGTTGAGTGAGCTCCAGAAATGAGAAGAGCCCCAAGGCACAGCATAGCCGGAAGCGGGGGCTTCCTGAACCCATTTCCTCTGCCCTTTCTCCTGGCTGCTAAAGGGAATCACCAGGGTCTGAAGCCCTGCCAGAATCCAGCTGATATTTCCTGCCTGTCTCAAAATGGGCACAAGATCACCAAAGACTCAGAACTGCCCCTGACCAGGCACCTAGGAAGATGGACTTGTACCCTAAACTTTGTGCAAGAAATGGAGGATCCCAGGTAGAGGTAGTGACGGACGTGTTTATCCTCCCTCCAAATCAACACTTGACCTTGGAGGCTGGCTCTTGAGCCACATCCCCACACATGCCTTGGGGCCATCGAGGTGGGGGAGCTGGAGGCTGCTGTGTTTCTCCAGGGATTTGTTCTGACAGCTGCAGTACCTTTGGACACACCCAAGCTAATCAAGTGAACCAATGAGTTGCCTAATCCTCGTGTGTCCTCATGACTAGTGCAGAAGAAACTGGCATTTATGCCTACTGACAGACCAGAGTTTCCCATGCCCTTCAGAGAGACCAAGGCAGAGGGTAGGGGGGCTCCTGGGGGGCACCCACCACAATAGCCAGTTGCAAAGAAGCAATCTGTTCTGGCAAACTGAATCCCCTCGCCCCCTCCATCTGGTTGCTCACTTGACCCTAGTCTACAGGATGCTGGAAGGCAAAATGTCAGCATGAGTCTCATCAAGGGCCTGAGGGGCAATATGGTTGCTCCTGAGAATTCAGAGCTTTCCTTGCTGCCATTTAATTAAGGAAGATCAACTGCTGCGAAAATACCACTGAAACCCTAGAAAGTGCCAGAAATCAACAGACCTCAAAGGAAACACAGTCAGGAGCGAGGACTCGAAAGCTGTTCCCCAATTGCTCCGAGCCTCAGTTTCCCCACCTTCAAGATCCTGACAGTGTTTCCCCATCAAGATTCAGCAGTAAGTCTGTGTGAAGTGCTCAGAGCAGGGTATGGTGTGTGGCACCTGGAGATGATTCACCACTGTCACCCCACTAGTCATTGAGTGAACGAGAGGTAAAAGATGACTTTCTCTCCTGCTCACGAAACTTTTCCAAATTTGAAAGCCACTCTGCAATCTTTGTTAAGTTCGTCTTGCCTGGTCTGCTGAGTCTCTGGCCCTGTAGAAAGGGCCATCCTGTTGATTCCATGAGCCCCCACCTCTGCTGAAGAGCATATATAGATGTCATAGACTGAGGCAAGAGGAATTCTATGAGTTTAAGACAGGATTCTCAGGCCAGCCTGGGCTACAGATTGAAACAAAAAGAGGGCCTAAGACCGGCATGGGGCCACACACCTTTAATTCCAGCACCTGGGAGGCAGAGGCAGGCAGATCTCTGTGAGTTTGAGGCCAGCCTGGTCTACATAGTGAGTTCCAGGCCAGTTGGGGCTACAGGGAGACCTGTCTCAAAAAGGGGGCTGGAGAAAGGGCTCAGCAATTAAGAGCACATACTATTCTTGCAGAGGACCCAATCTTAGTTCCCAGTACTCATGTGGAGTGGCTCACAATTACCTGTAACTCCAGCTCCCCGGGGAGCCAACAGCCTGTTCCAGGCTCTAGGGTACCTGCGCTCACCTATGCAGACACACACATATGCACATAAATAAGTCTGAAAAAAGAAATGCCAGAGAGCTGGGGGCGTAGCTCAGCTGGTAGAGTACTCACCTAGCATATGCAAAACCCTGGGTTCAGGGGTTGGAGAGAGGATTCAGCAGGTAAAAGCTCTTGCTTCTAAGCTGGGTTCAGTTCCCAGCACCCACATGGTGGCTCACAATCGTCAGTAATTCCACTTCCAGGGGATCCAACACCCTCTTCTGACCCCTCCCTAGGTACTAAATGCATGTGGTAAGTTTGGTGCCACCCTGGGCTACATGGGACCCTGTCTTGAAAGAAAAAAGGAAGGAGAGAGGGAGGGAGGGAGAGAAGGAAGGAGGGAAGGAGGGAAGGAAGGAAGGAAGGAAGGAAGGAAGGAAGGAAGGAAGGAAGGAATGAAGGAAGGAAGGAGGGAAGGAAGGAAGGAAGGAAGGAGGGAAGGAAGAAGGAAGGAAGGAAGGAGGGAGGGAGGGAGGAAGGAAGGAGGGAAGGAGGGAAGGAAGAAGGAAGAAGGAAGGAAGGAAGCCAACACTCCTTCAGCCCTAGATGAGCCAGCCACCGTCTTTAGCATCAAGGGGACTGCAAATCACAAAGCTGAACTCTGTGTATTGTTTCTTGGGACTCTGCAACGACAGAGTATGTTGCTGAGGGTCAGGAGGCCCTGGGAACTGGGGAGGCTCCGATAGTGGTGTGAGGGGAAGCTGGCAAGGAAGGAATTCAGAGTAAGCTTTGGGGAGGGCAAGACTCCACTGAGAGAGGGAAGAAGGCAAAAGAGTCAGAACAGCTGCTCTGAGGCAGGGCTCCAGGAAACGGCAAAAGGAGCGTGTTCACCACTCCCAGCCGCTTCCCAGTCCCTTCTCTTATGGAGTTTTGTAACCTTGAGGTTTTGTAACACTTGGGGTTCCCAGGATGGGCAGCCGTGGGGCTTTCATTGTCCCAGGAATCTTCTTGTATGATGTACATGGTTCCATTGGTGAGTCTGATCTCCAGCCCTGCTTCTACCCACCATCCACCAGGTCTGAGGCTCTGCCCCTCTTTCTCTGCATCTGTCTTGGCTGCCCTCTCACATGCATAGTTGGTGGATTGTGAGAACCTGTGCTAAAGGGAGCAATTAAATTAATAAAGGGAGTAAGTCAGATCAGGTGTTGGAATCGAAAAGCCACCTGCTAAGGAGGGCACATTACCAGAGATAGGGCTCCCTCCCTTTTCCAGATAGGATACTCCCAATGACATAATCAGCACAGAAAGAGGTAATGTTAATTTTGTTGCCTAATTTCTGACTCATTGTCTTCTTTGACCCTAAAATTTTCCATTGACTTTGAACAGGAAATGTCTTGCTTCTTGTGTGTGTGTGCATGCATGCATGCGTGTGTGTGTGTGTGTTGCTTTATACTCTGAACTGTCTTTATCCAACCACACTCCCAGCTCATAGAGGCTGACTTTTAGTCTAAACTGTTTTTCCATTGCTCATGATTTGAACAGCTGAGATGAGCTGACAAGTATATCACTTTCATCACAACATAAGGTCAAAAAGTGAGAAAGGGGCCTTTGTGTTTCTTGGCTTCCTCCACTGCTCCAGGGTAAGGCCCAAGAAAATGAGGACAGGGAAGAATGGTTATCCCAGGTGAGCAGGGAAGTGATGATGAGCCCAGGTAAACAGGTAGGTGCCACCAGCCCAGGTGAATGGGAGGTGTGGTCCACCCAGGTAAACCGAGAGGAACCATCCACACAGTGAGCAGAGACAAGATCAACAAAGGTAGTCAGGGAGACATGGTCACCCTAGGTGAGCAGGGAGACATGGTCAGCCAGGTGAGCAGGGAGACATGGTCAGCCAGGTGAGCCAATGCTTAAGCTCACATAGGTCAGGTAGAGAATAAATCTAGCTCCACAAGACTATGCCTATTGTGGCTGTATCCAACACAGACAGTCCATTGTCTGTTCATCTGTTTCATGAGCTCTCTGGAATCCTGAAGATTGAGCCATTCTACTCAGTGAGTTCTCTGAATGGCTCAGTTCAATCTAAGTATCAAGTAATTTTTGTTTTCAAAGATGTATTTATTTTTATTCTGTGCATATGAGTGTTTTACCTGCATGTAAGGATGTACACTATATTCACGTCTTTTGCCTGAAGGGGTCAGCAGAGGATATCAGATCCCCTAGAACTGGAGTTATAGACAGTTGTTAGCTGCCATGTGGGTGCTGCGAACCGAACCCAGGTCCTCTGAAAGAGTAGCCAGTGCTCTTAACCATTGAGCCATCTCTCTAGCCCCAGAAACTGCTTTATAAAAAAAATAAAATTATTTTATTTTATGTGTATGAGTACATTGCTTGAGTGTGTATAAACACACCCATGTTGTTCAGTGCCTGCCGAAGTCAGAAGAGGGTGTTAGATTCCCCTGGAACTGGAATTACTGATAGTTGTTAGCCACCATATGGGTGCTGGGAATCAAATCCTGGTCCTCTGCAAGAGCAGCTAATGCTCTTAACAGCTGAGCCATCTCTCCAGCTCCAAAACCCGATTTCTTAAACTTATTGAAAATATTACTAAACTTTTCTTTGGTTTGGACATAGTGGTAGAACACTTACCTAGACCACAAGATCCTGGTTGGATCCCTACCACCCAAAGGGTCTGTGGTTTGAATGAAAATGTCCCCCATAAGCTCCAAGTGTTTGGACATTTTGTCCCCAGTGGTGGCGCTGTTTTGGGAGGTCTTAGAAGGTGTGGCTATCCTAGAGGAAGCACATCACTGGGGGTGGGCTTAGAGAGTTCTTAAGCCTTGCCGGATCTCCAGTTGCTCTCTTGCTTCCTGTGCCTGTGTGATGATGTGAGAGCTTAGCTTCTGCTCCTCCTCCAGCCACCTCTGCCACCATGCCTCCCTGCCAGGATGGACTGTAATTCCTCAGGAACTGTAAGCTCAAATAAACTCTTCCTTCTATAAATTGCTTTGGTCAGTGTTTCTATCACAGCAACAGAAAAGTGAGTAATACAGTGACTATGTAGCCCTGGCTGGCTATGTAGACTGAGCTGGTCTTGAACTCACAGAAATCCAACTGCTCCTGGCTAGTGTCAC